TCTAATCTCCATATCTACAAGAAAATCCAACACCTCTACAACAAAAAGAGAAATAATCCTATTAAAAAATAGGCAAAGGAAATGAACAGACACTTCACCAAAGAAGACATTCAAATGGCCAACAGACACATGAGGAAATGCTCGGGATCACTAGCCATTAGAGAAATGCAAATTAAAACCACAGTGAGATAGGCCCACGCGAGGAACTGATATACCCAGTGTGGCTGAAGTCTGCGATATGAAAGCTGGAGTGACAAACAGAGGCAGCCGATGGGATGGACAGACACTAGACCTTGCAGTTCATTTAAACAATGAAAAGGGGATTGAATTAACTCAAAGGGTGATGTCAGGATTAGGAGACTGATTATGGTGTGATACATAGAGAATATTTGAGCATGGAAATATCCAGAATGAGAGTCTACTAAATGTATTTCTCAAGTAATCTAAAAGATTATCTCACTGCAAATGAAAATAGATGATATTTGGAAGCTGTATATTTTTGATATGGAAAGGCAGTGGCTCTGGATTCATATTTCCTTAATTCCAAAAGTAGATTGGCCACCTCTCTTGGTACATCTTGGGCTGGTTACATTAGCACTCTAAATCCTAGTTTCTTGACTTTCAGGATAGCGGGAATAATAGTACGTAGTTTATGGGCAGGTTAATTAATGCAAAGCACTTAGCAAAATTCCTGGCACCTGGAAAGTGTTCAATGAATGTCAGTAATTGATATTACGTCTTTGTTTAGAGAACAAAAATTAAAACAAAAAAAATTTTTTTTTTTTTTTTTAGGAGTCAAAATAAGGTTAGTGAAAAGAAGTGTAAAGATTCATTTATCCTGAGACAAGAAGACCTAGATAGTGCCAGGCTACCACTATCGACTGTCCTAATTAAGGCCACAACAGATGGACCGTGATAAGATGAGAGAGAAATGTGGAACAGAACCTCATTCCTAAAAAACAAAACAAAAAATAGGCTTACTGGACTGGTTGAGACTAGAGGACTCCCTGAGACTATTGCCCCATGACGGTCTTTAAACCTTGACCCTAAACTAACCCCTGAGGTAACCTTGTAGGTAAATAACAAATTGGCTCACAAAATAATGAATATCACCCATGAATACTGTACTTCTTTAAAAAATCATCTATATGAGACCAGAAGGTCAACAGTTACTTTAAAACAAAGGTGAGAATGTAAGAGGTAGGGAAACTAGATTAGTGGAAATGGAACAACCAGAAGGGAAATAATGAGAATGTTCAGGCATTGTAAAGAACGTAACCAATGTTACTAAACAACTTGTGTAGAAATTGTTGAAGGGGAACCTAAACTTCTATGTCAACCTTCACAGAAAACGCAATGAAATATTAAAAAACTGAAATGTAAAGACCACCATCCGAAATACACACACACACACACACACACACACACACACACACACACACACACACACTCACGAAACGCTTGACCTTTGAGCTTTCATATTCAAGGTGTTTAAGTAAAAATATATTACAACAAAGAGCACTTGTCAGTTTGGTGCTCTCCTCCCTCTTTGTCCTCCCTGTATGGAGACTCATATGGTACGTAACAGAAAGGAAGAGAGTAAACAGCAAATTAAAGATGAGAAGTGTCCCTGATCAAGGATATCAGGGATCAATTTAGAAAATAAATTTAGTTATAGAAAAATTAAGTATATTTTATTTTGTGAATATCTGAGTTTGTGATTAGTGAAATCCACGCCTCCTATACTTGCTTGTTTTGAAACCTGTAATCTATTTTGATTTATATGGAACAATATTAATGCTATATAAATTTAAGACTGTACCTTTATTACATAAAATTCAAAGCATTTTTGTAAATATCATTTATCCTTATATGCTCTCTGTTTTTAAGTACACCATTTCTCATTCAAAAAAAGAGAGAAAAATGAAAAAAATTAAACGACACATTATCCCAGTGTGACATACTAGAGACTTGAATTGCTGAGAAATACTGTCTCCTTGGCTAAGAGCCTAAGACAGCCAGTATGTAGACATTTTCCCATTTAATGCTCACAATTCAATGAGGTACTTGCTATTTCTGTCCCCCTTTACATATGAGGATATTGAGTCAAAGACAGTTTATATAATTTGTCCAAGTCATCTCTCTAGAAAGTGTCAGACTCAGGACTTGAACCAATAGAGTGTGGTTCTGGAGCTCAGTCTTACACATTAAGCTCCTCTTTGGCAACAAACAATATGTTTAGCAATTTTATATATATATTGTAGAGCCATCAGATTTTTATTTATTTGGTTGCATCCTATATTCAAAAGTATTTGCAATAATTGTATTAGTCTGATTGTATGAGCATTTTTCACAAAGCCAAAAGTCAGTAGAAGAAACCAAAGAGCCAATGGCATTAAAGTATTTTTTGCACGCATCAAAGGCCTTGTGTTACAGCCATTAGCAAATACTTTCATAGTTGCATGAAATGAAACATGAAGAGAATGCACGTATGTGTAAAGGATTGCTTCAATAAATATACATATGTATTAAATATCCCCGTTTATCCTTGATTGAGAAAACTCCCAGAAATACTATTTAAGTTCAAGGACTGAATGATTAAACCCAACTCACTTTTGTTTAATCAGATGTGGAAAAAATACATAGTTAATTGGTAGGCAAGATCCGAATGTACCAGAATCCAATTATAGAGTCTTCAAAACATTAGTGAAGTAAAAGTTAATGAGATATTTTAAAAGTCATTGCAATTTCATGATACTATTTATTTTGAAAAACGGCAAGGTTAAATTTAACTTTAATATGCTAAAAAAAATTCTCTGTCTTCATTTTAGAATTCCAACCAAAAGAAAAAATACATATAATATTTCGTGTGCTTCTAATTAAGAGTTTCTTTTGTTCTTTTCTTCTTTTAAGAGTCTATGTTAAAACTATATATATATATATATATAATATTGATTTTGGTTTAGTAATGGTCCAAGAAATTTGGTCAGTTTATTATTATTGCCCTCCGAATTCAAGAAAATGAAGGGATGTTTACTCCAAATCAGCACTAATTCAAATATGATTGGCATATACCAGTGCTAATAAAAGTAATTACAATCATGAGTCTGTATTATAATAAGTCTTACAATGAGTGTATTGGTTTGGCTTCTCCACAGGACACTTGTTAAAAATGTTTTTTTCCCCACACCTGAAAGTGATATACATTTAGTATTATGTAGCTTTTTAGAAAAATAAAGGCTTATTTTGCAAGTTAGTTGGTATAATGGAACACATTCAGTTGATGAAATAGATGGGTCATAAGGAGGCAGTTTATGATTTGTAATTATTAAAAATGAAAAAAGTGAACGAAATTAATGTCATGCACATAAAATGTCACCAAAGATTATTTACACCAGAAAAACTTACCTAGTAATAATAATGAGTAATTTTATACAGCCACAGAACTTTATTGATTTGTAAATTGAATGCATATTTTAACTCAGTTATTCTGAAGAAGAAATTCTACTTGCTGTATTCTCAAAATAGTTATGTGGCTATATTGAGTAACCTAATGGGTGTACATATTGATAAGAAGGCTTTGTATTTGCAAATTAATCTGCCTTTTGCTATTTATAGGGATACCTGTCTTAAAAACCTTTGAAATTGCTAAGATTCTATGCAAGTGTTATCTACTCTGTGAAACCTCCTCTTTTCTATGAGACAGAGTTCATCACTCCTTTAGCACTACTGCTTAGGGCACCAAGGAACCTAATGCTAACTTGGCACATAACATGTACTAAAACAAGATGGAATGAATCAATAAATATTTTTGTTATAGTAAAAATAATATATTTTTTATTTATACCCGCTTGTCTCATCCGCTAGATTGTAAAATCTTTGAGGAAAATGGGCATGTCTTATAATAATCAATTTTCAGAGCTTATAACAGTATTAACCATGATACTAAATTAATTATGTATCAGTTAGATATGCTTTTGACTGTAAGTAACAGAAAACCAGCTGCTGTTGTTATGTGCCATCAAGCGGATTCTGACTCATAACAACCCATGTGACATGGTAGAACTGCCCCCAAAGTCTTACCTAGGCTTTGTAATCTTTATGGGAGCAGGTTCCAGGTCTTTTCTCTGGCGGAGCCAGTGGATGGGTTCGAACCACCAACCTTTCAGTTTGCAGCTGAGTGCTTAACCACTGTACCACCAGGGCTCCTATCATAGCTTAAATAAATATAAGTAATCACTCTCACATAGCAAGGAGACCAGAGATGGGTACTCCAGAGCTGATGCAGTAGCTTCGCCGTTAAATCAGGCTCTTTTCTCCACTCCACTCCACCAACCTAAATGCTACCAGAAGACTGGTACACTGCCTTCTTCCATAATCATGCCCTCATTCAGGCAGGAAGAAAACAGAGGAAAGAGGGTGTCTCATTCTGAGGTTTTCATATTTTTCCTGGAAGAGAAACCTTTCCCAGTAGATGTCTCATTACATCTCATCAGCCAGTACCAGGTCATATTCGTACCTTGAAACTAGTGAATGGTCAATGACATTGAGGTCAACATGGCAGATTTAGACCAATTATGATTTAGCACCTGGGACTGGGATGGGGATTTATCTTCCCAGAGATTAATGAATTCTGTATTCCATTTGAACAAATTAGGATTCAGTTAGTAGGGAAGAAGGAGACTATTGTGTAGTTAATGGACAATACGCATGACAATAAACATTATTTAAATATAATCTTATTTGTTGAAATAAATTATTGACGCCATATACTATTCCCAATTGCATCTTTATATTTGTATTTTTGGTAAGATTTAATATGAGAAATTTCTGTTAATTTGAGGATAATTACAATTTCACAAAATCCTTTATATTTTTTTGTTACACTGGAAAAGAAAATGTGCATATATACAATATGGAAAAGATGCATTGTTTTCATCAACTTAAAAAAAAAAAAAACCAACTAGGTGTTGCTCTTGTAATTGCAAGGGAAATCCAAATGTGTAATTCTTTTCCTTGTCTTCCTTAGGCCTGAAAAGATACGAATTTAGATTCCATTCATCGATTAATTGAGGAAGCACAAATCTTCCAGATGCAACAGTCATCACTGAAATCACCTTGTGACTCAGTAGTGCCTGCCTCACCCCCCAGGGAGACCTGCCACTCCTATTTGCCACTTTATGGACTACAGTCTCATGCCACCCAAAATGTCTGTACACACTCACACAACACCAATGAATGGGACATTAGCGAAGAGCTTCGTCTGCGGGAACTTGAAGAAGTCAAGGCCAGAGCTGCTCAGATGGAAAAGACCATGCGGTGGTGGTCAGACTGCACTGCCAACTGGAGAGAAAAATGGAGTAAAGTTCGAGCGGAAAGGAACAGCGCCAGGGAGGAAGGAAGACAGCTTAGAATAAAGTTAGAGATGACAATGAAAGAATTAAGTGCACTGAAAAAGAAACAAAGATTGCCCCATGAGAAAGAGGCATTAGAAGTTAAAGTTACCCAGGACCTGAAGTGTCCTTGTTTCTTAGAAGCCCATGCACATGAAGAACAATTTCAAGTTGGTTCGCAAACAAGACAGTGTTTGGTAAAAAATCAGTTTTCTACAAAGGAGAGCACAAATAGTAAGGTAAGGAGAAAAAAAAAAATCCACAGAGGAATCTAGAGATTATGTGAACATTTTAATGCTGTATAGAGTGATGGGAAGGAGTCCTGGTGGCACAGTGATTAAGCATTCTGCTGCTAACCGAAAGGTTGGCTGTTGGAACCCACCAGAGGCTTCGAGGGAGAAAAGACTTGGTGATCTGCTCCTGTAAAGATTATAGCCTTGGAAACCCTATGGGGCAGTTCTCTTCTATCCTGTAGGGTCTCTAGGAGTCAGAATCAACTTGACAGCGATGGATTTTTATTAATAGTGATGAGGAAGTAGGGAAATGAGGCAAACTGAAAGGTGACCATACTGTTATTTTTAGTGAAAATTAAGCCAGTAATTATTTTTTTATGAAAAAGAAAATTTTTGGAGATAATTCATTATCCTTACTATATGAATAATACGCCATCCATAGAGTAGTTTTACACTACCCAAGATGTGGAACTCTGGTCTGACAATTAACTCCTTGCAAAATAGGTTCCATACGCAAATACTTTTAGGAAATGCTTCACACTACCAACTCGTGAAACTTCTTGGTACAGTTAGAGTCTTGAAGTTTCTGAGAATTTACTAAAAAAGAAACTATTTAAATTGTATTTAATCTAGCAGTTCATACATATTTATTTATCCATGGACCCACCCCCTTTTCTTTACCCTGGTAGATGCCATTAACATCTCTTAGAAAATAAGAAACTTTAAGAAATCATGTTATCTCTTATCACAGTTTCAGTTTATATTGTTACCCTTTTCTATTTAATTTCTTCTTTAAAAACATAAAATCAGGTTAATGTCTTGCACCTCTATAATTCTATCTAAAATTTTTAGCTGTTGTATGAAGCATGGATTATACATGGTTATATATACCTTATGGTAGGTTTAATCTAGAGTCTGTTTTAAGAGAAAAGTCTTAAAAAGATTGCAGCAACACAGTTACTTCTGCTTTTTTGGTCTCCTTGATTTTGTGTGTGTGTGTGTTTATGTTTCCTTTTTTTTTTTATCTTGAGAATCTAGCCCATAGTATCTGTATTATCTTTATGTGCATCTTTGGATAAATGTTACATATTACCAAAATTCAATCATGTCAACTGAGTATATTTGAATCCAGTGATTGGGATGAGGAAATGTAACTAACATGATGTGCACTGAATAAAAAAAAGTCTTTATTATTTATAAGTCACTAGACTTCACGTTTTAAAATGTGAAGGCTTCTCTTCACATTTGTTATGCTGGGAAATTCTCAATATCTTGGGATTTCACCTGGAATATCTTTTGTATCATCAATGTCAAGAACAAATCATGCATAGTGGATATTTATTAAGTTAGTTTCTTTAGGAAAAATCATAGTTAAAGTCCCTTCTGATGGTAGGGGAATTAATATTGGTTGTTGAATAAGCTTCAATCAGCTGTTTTTAATTTGACCAATTTCCCTGCCAACTCTAGGCCTAATGCGAAAGACATTTATGGATGTATGGATTTCTTAACCACTGTATTTTTCATGTAGAGGTACACATATCTTATTTTATTGTTTTTCAAAATAGTATACATAATAAAAATACTAACTTTTTGAGAAAATGGAGAGATGAACTATACTACATAGCCTGGTATCTATGTACTATTTTAAAAATAAAACACTAATAATGATGTGTCATTGAGATTTTATTTGAACTTGGCTATTATGAATTGCATTATCTCATTTAAAACCCATACATCATGGCAAATTTAATTATAGACAAATATCCATAGCATGAGTTCAGTGCAGAACAGTATGCTTCTCTGGTAATTGATGTCAATATTTATTAAAAGGTCCAATTAAATTCTATTTGAGATTCTACTAGTGAACTCAAATAGTTCACTATACATGCCTGTTAAAATATTCAAGAGTTTCCTGAAAATTCTTTTTTACCTCGTCCTCCAAAGATGTTAAATAATCAGCTGGCTTCACTTTGAAACTTGTGACAAAACCTTAAGGAGCAATTCAGCTCATTAAATAACTCTTCACTGATATTCAAGTTTATGCAGGGTTATTTTTAGCTGTTATTAGAAAAAGAAAACTTAAAGTAAAAGTTAAAGCAGAACTTTTGAGAAAATAATTTTATTATAATAAGATAGAACTTAGAAAAGAAAAATCAATTTGAAAAAGAATGCAGTTGAAGTTTGGTCATGGAACACTCTTATGATAATGAAATGCAAGTAAGGATTTGATTTCACATCAATACGTTTCTTTCCTTTCAAACTAGGTTTTTTTTTTCCCAATTTTTCTTGTGAAAGATATAAAAATTCACTAATAATTATTTTATGTTTTTTTCCCTTTCAGGAAGAAGGTGTGACTATTGATGCATTAAGATTAAATGAGAATATGAAGCTCAGTATTGATTTTTCTGATTTATTCAATAATGGTAGTTCTGGAAACTCTGCAACAAAGGCTGAACTAAGATTGCATGTGATAAATCTGCCTTTGGAGAGTGAAGTACTTGAAACATCAGCTTTGCAGGTGCCTTCAGATGAGTTCAAAAAAATCTTATTGAAGGAAAGAGAGTAAGTGCTAATAATTGTCTCCCTTCACCAAGCCTGGGTTTCAAACTTCTTAAAATTGATAAGCTTAATGAAGTGGTCATTTGAGAATGTATTTTACCAACAAATAGTCGTTAAGTTCTAAGATTTTAAAACTGATTTTGATATATATTTACTCTTGTTTTCAAAAAGTAATCTACAACTTGTTAGTTCTTGTCTTTCTTTTTACATGACTTTTATCATGACCATGTTCTTGTCATCTCCAACATATATCGACATATTCACCTCAACTGTATTTGAATTCTTAATGTATATGGTTAAAATATCAAGTACATTATCTATTTTTTGGAACATTCTAGGACTTAGATGAGTCAATAAAAGTGAACAACTATGTTATTATTAATAATGGACAACTCACAACGTCATGAGCTATTGATCATAGAAAAAGATGCCTTGGACACTGACCACATGTGTATGGAGGAAGGAACACTAGACTTGTGATTCAGAAACCTGGACAAGCACCTTGGTTTTGACATGTTCTAGCTATATGATGTTGGGTTAGCAAGACTGTGCACATTGTTTCGTTTGTAGAATTAGGAGTAGCTATGCCTATGTTCTGGTTATCTAAGGAGCCCTGGTCGTGCAGTGGTTAAGAGCTCAGTTGCTAACCAAAAGGTCACTGGTTCAAACGTACCAGCTGTTCCATGGAAGAAGGATGTCTCAGTCTGTTTTCGTAAAGATTGCAAACTTGGAAACCCCATGGGGCAGTTCTGCTCTGTCTTATATAGTCACTATGAGTCAGAATTGTCCTGACAGCAATGGGTTTGGTTTTTTGGTTTATTATTGTGTAATAAACCTTCCCAAATAATGGTTGTTTAAACAACAGTCATGTATTCTGTTCATGAATCTTGAGTATGGCTTGTCACGGACAGCTGTAAGTAGCTTCAGCTGGGATGGCTTGGTGGCTGGAGGTGACTTGAAGGCTAGAGTTGAGAACATCTGAAGCCCTGTGCACTCAGATATCTCATGATTGACCCTGTTTCTCAGCTGGGGCCTCAGCTAGGACGTGTACAGGTAGCCCCTCGTCGTGGCCACTTGGCTTCTTCACAGCATAATGGCTAGCTTGTGAGTGAGCATCTTAAGAGAACAGACAGAAGTATATGGCATTTTTATGGTCTTGCCTCAAAAGTCACATGGCATCATTTCTGCCAAACTTGCTGGTCAAAGCCATTTCTAAGGCCTGCTCAGATTCAAGGGCAAGAGGATATAAACTGCACTGCTCAATGGAAGGAGTGTCAAAATCATATTATAAAAAGAACATTAAGGATGGGATAATTGTGGTGGCCATCTTTGGAAACTACAGTCTGCCTCAACCTTCACAGAATTCTTATAAGGATCAATCACAAATTATAGCTGAGAAAGTGACTGGTAATAAGAACACAATATGTATTAATGGAATGAAACACTGCCTAGTCCTGCACCATCCTCACAACTGTTGCTATGTTTGAGCCCGTTGTTGCAGCCACTATGTCTTTAGACCTGTACACATATTAAAAATTAATTTTACCTGCACCTATATGTTACAGTCAAAGTCTAACCTCTGTGCTTTTAATTTTTGAAGGAATTAAGTTTTTAGTGGTTGTACAGTCTTCTCAAACCCACTTACATTACTTCACTGATCTAGCGTAACAGGAGTAATCAAAAACTGCTGTGTCCTAGATATAAAGTCTTCTAAGGTGCCAGTTTTAATGCTGTGCACATTTATCTTTACACACTCACATACATATACATGTATTTTCTACTTTCAACTTCCCTGGAATATATGAAGAATCTCCATAAATAGTAAGCTGTCAAGTTGTCAGAAAATTCAATACAGAAACCATAAACAGGCCAAAAAATAGGGGTGAAGGGAGCCTTTGATTCAGCTTTATCTTCCCACTCTCTTCTTTAAGAAATAATCCCATGGACATTGTGAGTCAGGGTGTACGTGTCCATGAATCAACAAGCAATCCACATGAGGCAATTGAAAAGCCTTTTTTTTCCATCACAGAGGAATGTTTCTCAAGGATATAGTATGTGTTATTACTATAAATATGTCTAAACTTTTAAATTCTTCTTTCCGGAATCTCAGCAAGTGGGTGGCTTGAGTTGAAAAAATGTGAACATAATTATTCTATGTTCCCAGCTAGTGGGAACAATCTCTTGACTGGGGCACAGGATTAAACTGAGGGAACCCAGGGAATCATTTACACTGTTGGCATGGACTAGACCCTCCACATCGAATAAAATAAGATTTATTGTATCATTTGTACTCTGTGTATTGTTCAGTCGTATAAATGATTCTCTAATATCTCGAAGCCCCTCATATTCTTAGTATTTGTGTATTTTTGATCACTTAAGATATAAAATTGCTTGAGGCGGGGCCAAGATGGCAGAGTAGTCAGATGCTTCCGGTGGACCCTCTTACAACAAAGACCAAAAAAAACAAGTGACTCGATTATATATGGCAATCTGGGAGCCCTGAACATCAAAGGCAGAGTTGAGGAACCAGACTGAGTGGCAGGGGAAGGGAGAGATGGTTCGAAAGCAGCAAGGAGTTGCTAGACCTGACCTGGCGAGAGCCTGAGCCCTTCAGGCCTGAGTAGCTCATGGGTGAGCATTGAGGCAGGCAAGTGGTGGTGCTTGGGAGGTGCGTTTTCTGCACTGGGAGAGACCCAGTGCCAGAGAATCTACACGACCACCCAGAACCGGTGAGAAGCAGTCTCATCGGCAAAAGATAAGTACTTGTGTATGGCTTACCACATGGATCAAAAACACCCCCTTTAGGGAAAAACCTCTCTCCCATTTACCTCCCCGCTCCCTGCTCTGCATTGGGTCCTGGACTGGCTTCAGCAAATGCCAAGTCCCCTGGGCCAGAAGTAGGATCTGTCACATGCCCGGAGCCATTCTCCCTGCCTTGGAGAGTGAACAAATTAACAAAAAGGGAAAAGAAATAAATTGCTGGCTCCCCTAAGCCAGGAACCCAAGGTAGGCACAGCTCCCTTGCCGAGGGACAGGCACAAGGGATCCATGAACTTTGAGTACCTTTCAACCTGCATAGACTTCTGTGGGCCCATCTCAACAGCGTAGGCCCTCATTACCACACTACAACAGGGTATATACCGGAAGTCTAACTTCAACTGTTTCAGCTGTGAAGTGGCAGGTTCTTGACATTTGACACTGCTCTGCTCATTAAGCAGGATCTTCACCTACCCACATCAGGGGACTGAGGACTGATGGCTCCACCCATGCCACTTAGTCACCTGCGATAGGGGCCCATGAATAAGAGGTACCTCCCAGTTCTTACAGCCAACAGCATTAGATGCTCCTAGTCCGGCTGCAAAACCCACCCACCTACATGGTCTATGGAACAGGGACATGCCTTCCTCCTAGACACTCAAGGGTGGCCGTCAGCCCCCTGCCTTGCTCAGAGTGTGTCCCCCTGTTGCAGTCAGATGCCTGTGCCTACACCAATCACCCATGCCAGTCTAGGACTGTAAGTGAGAGCCTACACCACACACTTGGTGGCTGTCTACCTGGGCACCTGAGATGAATCAATACAGGAGAAGTAGGCGGACTCCTGAGCTCACATACCTAGTAACAGATCTAACCACCTGGGGACAGGACATTAGAGCTTCAAAGGTGCCAATAATCAAACCAGCCCATACTAGCAGCCTATTTGGGCATATCAAAACAAAACAAGAAGCTAGGACACAGTAAGCAAAAATACAATAAATAAACATAATAACTTATTGATGGCTCGGAGACAACAGTCAATATCAAATCACATAAAGAGGCAATCCATGATGGCTTCAGCAAGCTCCCAAAATAAAGAAAAATAGAGGTAAATATTAAGGTAACCACATAGGAAACTAACAATCCTACAAGTCAAAATAAAAAACTAGAAACAAAGACTCAGCAAACACAAAATCAACAACAATGAAAAACATGAAAATACACAAAGAAAAATGACTCAGCACAGAAAATTAAGTGGAACAAAAAAAACTGTGAACAACACCAAAAAAAGACATCAAAATGTCAGCACTAAACTCATACCTATCAATAATTATGCTGAATGTGAATGGACTAAATGCACCAATAAAGAGACAGAGAGTGGCAGATTGGATAAAAAAAACACGATCTGTCTATATGCTGCCTACAAGAGACACACCTTAAGCTTAAAGACACAAACTAAAACTCAAAGGATGGAAAAAAATATATCAAGCAAACAACACTCAAAAAAGAGCAGGAGTGACAATATTAATCTCTGACAAAACAGTAAAGTAAAATCCACCACAAAGGATAAGGAAGGGCACTATATAATGATTAAATGGTCAATACACCAGGAGGACATAACTATAATAAATATTTATGCACCCAATGACAAGGCTCCAAAATACATAAACTCTAATAGCACTGAAAATAGAGATAGACAGCTCCACAATAGTAGTAGGAGACTTCAACACACCACTTGTGGTGAAGGACAGAACATCCAAAAAGAAGTTCAACAAAGACATGGAAGAGCTAAATGCTACCATCAACCAACTTGATCTCATAGACATATACCAAACACTCCACCCAACAGTACGCAGGTATACTTTCTTTTCCAATGCACATGGAACATTCTCCAGAATAGACCACATATTAGGCCATAAAGCAACCCTTAACGAAATCCAAAGCATCGAAATATTACAAAGCATCTTTTCTGACCATAATGCCATGAAAGTAGAAATCAACAACAGAAAAAGAAAGGAAAAAAAATCAAACACATGGAAACTGAA